TTTTACCTCAAGTAAAATGCCTAAAGCAACAAGTTGCACAGTCTCACTCTGATTGAGGTGAAGATGTTTTTTGCGACATTGCCATTGGATTTCTTGACGACTATCTTACTTTGGCCTCTTTGTCCTACACAAGAGGAAGCATTTTGTCCCAGTCCACTCCTGATTATCTCCTGTAGCCCAGCGACACAATACACTCTCAACCTTGGTTCTTCAAGTGGAGCCTAGTTAGCGGAATGGGTTTCAGTGGGGAAGAAGGGAAGGAAGACACGAGGGGTGGAGCAGTGTGGGGGCTGATTACCCCTTAAAAAACTGGCATCTTCAAGCGGACAGAAGTTTGGGTAAGGGGTGATGGGTGATTGGGAGGTCAGATCTCAGTACAAGGCTGCAAATCACTCACCCACAAAGCGATAAGTAATACAAAACCTCCAGTCTACCTAAGAGAAGCGCAGATCTCTACACAGAGAAAACAAGAGCGATGGTGCAGTGCAGGAGTTGGGGGGGAGATAAGCACCAGCTCTCTGTAACTGCATCCAGTCCACGGCCCTGAGCAATCTCCTGCAAATGGCTGACTGGCAGAAAGCCAATTAACAACCTGACAAGTAGGACCCAAAGTGGAGGCAAATAAATCAAGAATGTTGATCAAATTCTACGTTAAAATAATTATACACTTGAATGAGTGCATCCCTTGCAAAATAGCGCCATCAATTATTTAACAGATTGCTGCAGGATATTTCAATTCTGCTTCGTGAAAATTTAATTTCTAGAGATAGGAGATGAAACTGAATTGTGTCGAAAACTCCACAGTGAAACAGCTGAATTGCGTAGTCAGAAACAGCAGGTGTAGAGCTCTCATCCGCTCTGTTGCTCCCAGCCCAGAGCCTACCATTAAGAGCTTTCTTTCTGAGGATGTAAGTAACAATCATTCTGAGAGGTTTTGACAGTGTAGACGTCGAGAGCTCTCTCTTAGCCAGGGAGTGAGGAAGTGAGGAAGTATAAGGGGGTGCAGTGCCTGGATGAGGGGGCAGCCATTCGGGACTGAGATGAGAGAAAATGTCATTGCTCAAGTGAATCTTGGGATTTCCCAACCATGGAGAGCCGTGGATGCTAAGCTGATGAAGTTGTCCTGATTCACTGAGGTAATGCACTGGAACTGAAGCCACACTATTCCCTGAGTTGCCAAAAATGTGAAGATTTAATGAAAGTACTGGAAGTCACAATCCTACTGACTGCTACCCATAATCAAAGCAAACCACACCAGGTTACTTCTGTAACAGTAAAAGAAACATTTATTGTAACAGTCTTAACCCTAAGAAGAGCAGCAAAAGAAAAAAGGATTTCTAGTTTATGGATTCTAAACTTTACCCCTTCTATGATTTACCCAGACATGCACACACACACACATATGCACACACAAACATATGCACACGCACACATACGCACACACACACATACACAGACGCACACACATACGCACACGCACACACATACGCACACGCACACACACACACATATGAAAGAAAAGCAAACAAAATGCAAATATTATGAATGGAGAAGAAAAATGCTCAGGAAAACACAGTTCTATATCACCAGTCCAAATTGTAAAACTAGATGGTTTGGTTTTGCAATCTATCAAATCTTCAGTCATGCCACAGTGTTATCTGCACAGTGACAATCAATTTTTAGTTCATTGGTTACTTGTTTGAATCTGGGATGTTTCTTTTTATCTCTGGACTTTAGAATTATTTCTTTCAGCGTCTCTGATGTAGCTTATCTGCGCTATCAATAGCATAATGAAGGGAGCAACTTTATAGAGAGAGGAGAGAGTGAGGTTGATGCAATCGAGTTCTGGAGGTCTCCTTGCCTCTTTCAGTTACCTCACAGAACTGATGCAACTTGACCAATCAGAGAGTTGTTATTCTGAGCTCTCTTGAACCCATAACAAATGGTTCTAATTAATCTAGACCCAATTCCACAAAAAGTAATATTGTTTCATATGCATCAGTTAGCTTCACTAGTTTTTCCAAACTGTAAACAACTCCTTGAACATTCCCCCCTTTTTAAAGGCAGTATCCACATCTCTCAATTTCAGTCCAAAATGTAAAAAGATGTGGCCTCTTACAAAGTATATTTAAGGCTAAGGTTGATATTCTTTGAACACAAAGTGGATAGGGCAGAAAAATGGAGTTCAGCCACAATCTTACTGACCAATCTTCAAGAACTGTATGATGTTCTCCTTCTCGTCCTACTCCTATTTCTTATCCAAGATAGCAGCCCACACAATGTCAGAATATCTTTTCATTAGCATAAAAGGAAATCCTTCCCTTGATGGAATGGATTACTGTTTAGTTTGTTGCGCTACGTGTCACGGATACCTTTCTTTTGCCTCAACCATGAACACAATGTTAAATGAGCCTGGATAATCTGCATCAACAGCTTATTTGACCATGGGTGACATTGCTATATAATACAGTTAGCACCTGAAAGGGTTAACTGGCATAATAAGCTTCACCCATCAGAATATAGAGGAATGTTCCCGGGAGGAGCTAACTGGTCTGGTTTCAACTCAGGGCTAAGTCTTTTTACATAAAAATAGTGTGTACTTACTCTTAAATACAGACTGAGGTCGTGGAAATGGCTCTTATGGACTCAGCTGTAATGTAACTATCACTAAGTACTATCTAATAAATCTATTCTGATTAACAAGATGGTGCCTCACTTCTGTTATAGACATTGCATAGGCAATCTTTCCTACTAACTTAGACTAATGCCAATAAGAAGGATTGGTGGCAGCGAACTTACACATTTGATTGGACAAGAGTGCAACAGATACAATGCAGTCAGAGTTGGTATATGAAAATATAACAGGCATCGTCCTCCAGCCCACTCTTCCTCTGACATCTATGCACTTGCACCCTGCAAACAAAATAAACTGAACAGGAATCAGAAGCAAGAAATCTGGCTGGTTCTTTCCTCTCTATCATGATGTAAATTGTAGCACTAGACATTCGCTGGCTCAGCACTGGCTAGTGACCTAACCTGGGCCCCTCTTGGTTTACACAAGGTTTTATTGATTAGTCAAATAAGTGGGGAAAAGAAACACTGCTGGGCAATTTGTAAGAAACAGTAAATTTGACCTCGCTGCTTGTGGTTTTATTTTGCTAAAATGCATCAGTAGAAAGAGTATGTGTTAATTGTCCTGTAAGTAACAAAATATTGGAAGTTGTTTAATCTCAGATGAAATGGTTTGCTGATTGAACCACCAGAAACCTTATCTGTCTCTTGTATTTTTGTCTTAGTCTTCAGGTTTTCCTCCATTCATTTGAATTTCTTTTTATTCTTCAGTAATCTTTTTTTTTATTCATTCACAGGATGAGGGCATTGCTGGTCAGGCAGCATTTATTGCCCATGCTTAATCGCCCAGAGGGCAGTTAAGAGTCAATCACATTGTTGTGGGTCTGGAGTCACATGTAGGCCAGACCAGATCAGGATGGTAGCTTCCTTCCTAACAAGGTGTTAGTGAACCAGATGGGCATTTCCCAACAATCAACAGTCATCATTAAACTCTTAATCCCAGATGTTTATTGAATACAAATTCCACCATCTGCCATGGTGGGATTCGAACCCAGGTCCCCAGAATGTTGCTTGAGTCTCTGGATTAACAGTACAGATAATACCACTAGGCCATCACCTCCCCACTATCTTCCTTCCATCCTAACCCTCTAAGTCATTTAAACCTGAGGCGAAGCATTCAAAACTGCAAGAAAAGAGCAAGAGGCATCTGCATGTACATGGACCTTTTCTAAGTAATGTCACCTCAGCAGTGATTCACATGAAATTAAAATAGTGCGCTATTCAGACGCCTGTGAAGGAACTTACAACAGGGTGAAGCTTAGAAACATGTCAAAATAGTAAATCTGTTGGGTTTCACGTTTTTTGGGTGCAGGATATGGGAGATGTGAAAAAGTTACTAGGATTCGACATCATTTTTTTTGTTTTTGAATGACTTTTGAAATTGACAGTTGCTACAGTTTTTTGTGGCAAAACAAGGCTGGCTTGTTAATAAAAATGTACAGAAGCCAGGGCACAGAAAGTGCTTATCGCAATATATATGGAAGGCAGTCTTAAATAATTGAGATTTGGTCCACTGAATGTAACAAGCCATCTGAACAAATAACGAATTAGTAACAAGAAACTAACAAAAGGCTGAAGAATTAGCTTAATCTAAAATTTTCACAGTAAGGGAAGGATGATGATTGCTGCAAATATAGAAAGACCCTGCTGTAAGAAAAATGTTATGAAACTAGAAAGGGTTCTGAAAGATTTACGAGGATGTTGCCAGGGTTGGAGGGTTTGAACTATAGAGACAGGTTGAATAGGCTGGGGCTGTTTTCCCTGGAGCATTGGAGGTTGAGCGGTGACCTTATAGAAGTTTATAAAATCATGAGGGGCATGGATAGTGTGAATAGACAAGGTCTTTTCCCCAGGGTAGGGGGAGTCCAAAACCAGAGGGCATAGGTTTAAGGTGAAAGGGGAAAGATTTAAAAGGGACCTAAGGGCAACTTTTTCATGCAGAGGGTGGTGCGTGTATGGAATGAGCTGCTAGAGGAAGTGATAGAGGCTGGTACAATTACAACATTTAAAATGCATCTGGATGGGTACAAGAATGCAAAATGTTTAGAGGGATATGGGCCAAATGCTGGTAGATGGGACTGGATTTACTTAGGATATCTGAGCAGCATGAACAGGTTGGACTGAAGGTCTGTTTCCATTTTGTACAGCTCTATGATTCCATGACATCAATGTGTTTTAGACAGAAATTACCTGGATCCAGCACAACACCATTCCTCAAACAAAGTTCTGATTTGCCTGGGTTACTATTCCAGAGATCCACTCATTCCGAATCAATTTTTCATGTGTCTCAAATTCTCACAATATTATTTGTAATTGCTGCTCTCAGCACAGCCTGCTTTCATCTCCTAATCTTTATTTTGTAAAGGGACGCTCAGGTCAAGATCATGGAAGCGACGGTGAACAATGCAGAAAAGTATCTCGGCCAATTCTGCATGCTCCTGGCTTCCTACACACGCAAGAATGCAAGGCTGAGAGACAAGGTTGACCTGCTGATAAAACAGATTATGGACTTTGCAAACACCGAAAATCCAGAGTTACGAAGGTGCCTCAAGGACTTTGGAGAGGAGTTGTCAAAGATTCAGGACTATCGCCAGGCAGAGGTAGTCATGTTCATGGAAATGTCTACATCCGTGGAGCTGGTTAAAATGTGATTTCTTTTCATATGTATATATTACAGAAGTCTCACTGAGGCAAAGGAATATGAGTTAGTTTATCACTGGCACCCATCATTGCTTACTGCAGTCATGGTGATACTAATTTGAATGATTGGCATAATAATGTCTGCTATTTACAGGTTTAAAGTAATTACATGTTTACAGACATTCTGCATTTAGGGCTATATTAGCAATGTTTCTGCAAGAATACTGACCAGAAGCTGTACAGGACTATCCTTGGAGACATTTATTGTAACTTTTTAACCTTCATTCTGCGGAGGTAGGTAGTATTCAGCGCATCTAAAATTACCATCAACAGCTCAGCTGAATTTAGGTATGTGCTGTTTAGGGAAATGTTGGCATTCCATTTAACGATAAAGCTTATTCAAGTTCAAAAGCAGTGAGTGTTCCCTTTTTCTGTAATTGTGTGTGTGTTGTGCAGACACCTGGAGGCAATATGAAGCTTAATGTCCGTGCTTCAAATCATAAATAAATCTCATGTTGCTGATCTGAACAAATTTTCATTTTCCAATTTGGGAGAATAATGACAATAAAAGTCCTCATCGAGTTCCCAGGCCAATTACTTTCAACTCTTATTGACTAAAGCAGAAATAAGCGCAAATATGAGTGAATTATCCAAGTTTTGCAATGTCTGAAAAGCCTTCATTCCAATTTAAATACAGGAAATACTTTCAGGATTGGAAACATTTATAATCAGTCTTAGTTGATTCCCAGTAGGTGAGATTAATACAGTCACCTTGGATTGAAAGTTTCTCAAAACTTATTTGGAACATTGCCTAATGCAAGGGGAGCAAGTCAATCTATCATTTGGTGTAAGAGAATTTAAGCTCTTCTCTTTCCTATTTGAATGTAAGAGAATAGAAAGCAACCAGTGCTGGAAAGCAATAATAACTGTTGAAAATTTTGAAAAGATATTACCTGTATGGTTCATGGTTAATGGCTCAGTTGTAACCTGAAGTTTTGGTAAAGGTCAATACAGCTGCCTTGCATTTCTCTTCAGTGTCTGAGTCACCTGTTATGCATTTCCACTATTTGATACAAAGCTCTGAAATCAACTGGGCTTCAGTTCCAAATCAATGTATCTCAGTTTCCACATATCAAGTTTCCATTGATGTTGAGCTATTCAGAGCATTATAGCTGTGGAATGTAATAATGAAGTTGCTTTATTTATAAATCCCAAGATGCACTTCCAAATTTTGGCACCAGGAGGACTCTGCAACCCTCCCATCTTACGCTAACATATTTCTGTTGAACTTTTTTTATTAGTTTCTTTGACTGTTGCGCACTGTTCATACCACCATACCTTTTAGCCTATTTAAACAATCAATTTTAGATAGTTAGAGTCATAGTCATAGAGTCATAGAGTTGTACAGCACAGGAACAGACCCTTCAGTCCAACGCGTCCATGCCGACCAGATATCCTTAGTAAATCTAGTTCTATTTGCCAGCATTTGGCCCATATCCCTTTAAACCCTTTCTATTCATGTATCCGTCCAGATGTCTTTTAAGTGTTGTTATTGTACCAGCCTCCACCACTTCCTCTGGCAGCTCGTTCCATACACACATCACCCTCTGCATGAAAACGTTGCACCTTAGGTCACTTTTAAATCTTTCCCCTCTTACCTTAAACCTATGCCCTCTACTCCCTACTCTGGGAAAATGGCCTTGGCTATTCACCCTATCCATGCCCTTCATGATTTTATAAACTTCTATAGGGTCACTCCTCAGCCTCTGACACTACAAGGAAAACAGCCCCAGCCTATTCAACCTCGCCCTATAACTCCAACCCTCCAACCCTGGCAACATGCTTGTAAATCTTTTCTGAACGCTTTCAAGTTTAACAACATCATTCCTACAGCAGGGAGACCAGAATTGAACGCAGTATTCCAAACATGGCCTAACCAATGCCCTGTACAGCTGCAACATGACCTCCCAACTCCTATACTCAATGAACTGACCAATAAAGGCAAGCATACCAAATGCTTTCTTCATTACCCTGTCTATCTGTGACACTATCTTCAAGGAACTACAAGCCTGCACCCCAAGGTCTCTTTGTTTGGCAACACACTGTATAACTCTACCTTTAAGTGTATAAGTCCTGCCCTGATTTGCCTTACCAAAATGCAACCCCTCACACTTATCTAAATTAAACTTTATCTGCCACTCCTTGGCCCACCTGATCAAGGTCCTATTGTACTCTGAGCTAGCCTTTTCCGCTGTCCACTAAACCACCAATTTTGGTGTCATCTACAAACGTACTAACCATTCTTCTTATATTCACACACAAGTCATTTATATAAATGACGTAAAGCAGTGGGCTCAGCACTGATCCTTGCGGCATATCACTGGTCACAGGCCTTCAGACTGAAAAACGACCCTCCACCACCATCTTCTGTCTCCTACCTCTGAGCCAATTTTATATCCACATGGCTAGCTCTCCCTGGATTCCATATGATCTAAACTCACTAACCAGTCCACCATGCGGAACCTTGTTGAATGCCTTGCTGAAGTCCTACAGACAATGTCCACCACTCTGCCATCATCGGTCTTCTTTGTCCCTTCTTCAAAAAACTCAATCAAGTTAGTGAGACACAATTTCCCATGTAAAAAGCCAAGTTGATTATCCCTCGACAGTCCTTGCCTTTCTAAGTACATGCAAATTCTGTCCCTCAGAAATTCCTCCAACAACTTACCCTCCACTGATGTCAAGCTCACCAATCTATAGTTTCCTGCCTCTTCCTTACCACCTTTCTTAAATAATGGCATCACATTAGCCACCCTCCAGTCTTCCAGCATCTCACATGTGACTATCGATATGAATATCTCAGCAAGGAGCCCAGCATTCACTTCCTTAGTTTCCCAGAAAGTCCTGATCATGTCCCAGCCTCTCCCCTCATGCCGATGAAATTAGCTTTATTTAAGTTTAAGATCCTTGTCTGAGTTTGCAGCATGTAACTTTGAAATGTAACATGGAATTCAATGGTATTAGGATCACTACTTACCAGTGGATCTTTCATTATGATTTCACGACACAACACCAGTTCTAAGACAGTTTTATCCCTAATCACTTCCACAATGTATTGCTGTAGGAAACTGGTGGAAAACATTCATTTTACAAATTTATGTAAATCTTGAAATGATACAAATAATTAACTCTTCCAAGCAACCCTTTCTAACAGAGACTTCACCTCCCCCAAGTCATAGTGGGATCTATATTCTTGATTATGAATCCTAAACCATAACCGTTATCCAAACATAACATACTTTAATGCTAGGGAGAATGAGAGAAAAATAAAATCTCAATTTTATTTTTCCGTGAGGGATTCTCAGCATTTCATAACTGTCCAATAATAATCATTGTAATCGGCTTTTACTGATTACTGGGTTGAGATTTCCAAACGCCTCAGAAAAATGAAGTGCTCAGGGAGCCTACAGAGAACAGCGACAGGAAGTGATTACCACAAGATGGAAGTTAATTAACGTATGAGGGAATTAGCCATACAGCAAAATTATGTTTCAATTATTAATAGGTCACATTTCAATGCCATAACTTCACAATTGGTTGCAACAATTTCTTGATAAGATTGACCTTTGTATTAACTCCTGTTTTCCTTATCAAATTGTTTTTTTAGGTGGAGAGACTGGACGCCAAGGTTATTGAGCCACTAAAGGCTTACGGTCCCCTGACAAAATCCAAACGGGTATTTTGTTTTACGTTGCTCATTAATCGTCTGTGATAATGTTTCCAAATAATCAGAAGTCATGTTCTTTTCCAATCGTGTGGCAAAAACCCTATCTAAACAACAACTTGCATTTATATAGTACCGGTAATGAAATACAAACAATCCAAGGTGCTGCACAGAACATAAAAAACAGGAATTGATACTGAGCTACATGGGGAGGTACCAGAACAGTAGAAAGATTTTAACTAGTGTTTAATGAAGAAGACAGAGAGATGAAGTAAAGAGATTTAGAGTGGAAATTTCAGTGAATCATAGAATCCCTACAGTGTGGAAACAGGCCCTTCATGCCAACAAGTCCACACCAACCCTCAGAGCATCCCACCCAGACCCATCCCTGAACATTACAGACAATTTAGCATGGCCAATCCAGCTAACCTGCACATCCTTGGACTGTGGGAGGAAACCCACACAGACACAGGGAGAACATACAAACTCCGCACAGACAGTCACCCAAGGCTGGAATTGAAGCCGGGTCCCTGGTGCTATGAGGCAGCAGTGCTAACCACTGAGCCACCACGCCACTTGTGCTGAGAGCCCAGGCAGCTAAAGATATTGCCAACAATATTGGAATGAAGGAATATTTAAGAGGACAAAATTAGAGGAGAAAAGATCCAAATAGCCACTGGGTGAGGTTCCCCAACTTGTTATGGTTCCAGGCAGGATATCACAATTTGTTAAACTCCTGGGAGAGGAAAGATGGAACGGCTCCCTTTCTCTACTCACCCCCTCATGCTCAGATGGTTGCAACAGGATCAATTTAAAAACGATCCCGTCCCTTGCAAATACATTTCTCCCGGAACCAAATGAACCTGCGTTTTAAAAGGGCACTGCCTTCGGTTTAAAAAAGAGTGAATTTATTAAATACTAAACGAGAGAAGAGAAAGTAACACAGCACGTGCCACCCACCTTTTCAGCTCCTGTGCCGAGGTTTCTAACAATCGAGTCTTTGCTAGCTCGGGTACCAATCGAAAGGGTGACTGGGGCTTGGTTCAAGTTAGGACACAGGCACTGAGGTTTCGGATGAATGCAACACTCCAGAGGTTTCAAGTTAGGATTCTGGCCGGTATAGTACGAGAGCACAACTGTCACAGCCTGTTCCCGTTAATCAAAAAAGACTGGTAACGATTACAGGGGAATTCTTTTGACCTGTCTAAGTTTTGAAATGGACTGATATTGTGGCAACGTCTGTGATTCAGATCATTTTGCCTCTTGGCTGGAAGATACACAGTGAGAGTAGGTAAAACATTGGACGGTGAGTGGAGGCACTCGGAAACAAAAGGGAGAAAACACACTGCAAACGCTGGCTGAAATTCCAAAGAAATACCTGTACAGCGAAACTCAATCACTGCCTGAAAATGAGAAAGACTGATCATTTTTGGTGAAAATCTTCTGTTTACAACCGGAAGTTGAAAGAAAGATTACCAATCCTCCAAGCAAAGTTGCTAAATTAACCAGGGATGTTGGGGGTGGTGGTTGAGATTCCAGATAAAGACAGGGACTTAATTTCCACAAATGTAGAAGGAAGAGAGGGGATTTCATTGCAATATGTCACATCCTTAAGGGATTTGATGGGGTAGATGCTGGAAGGAATGCTGTGGAGAACATGGGGTAAGGGTGGAGTGGTGTTGAAGCGATAGGGGTCTTGTTTGATGAGGATCCTGTGATGCTGCATTTCAACAAGGCCCCCCACAACTTGCACCATCTGACCACTTAACAAACCAGTGGATGGCCTTACCCCCAGACTAATTATCCTGAATCAGAAAGGTCAGAGACCGGGAGCTGTTCTGTACTCAGCAGCACCAATGGGCAAGCAGTTGGCCTTAGATGGAGGAGGGATCCAGGTGCAGGTGAGTGATGGCAGAAGGAGGTTTGCAGGGTGAAGCCTGTGAGGGAGGGGGTCAATAGTTCAGACTGGGTTCTGGTTTACAGTGAGATGTTCTTCTTGATTTCAGGTTCCTCAATCAGGCACTGAATATCTCTAAATGCTCCCCACTAATATACCCTCCCCAATCCCAGAAACCCCAAACATGCGAATGTTTGCTTGTCATACTCCCAGTGTGGTGAATCCTCTGCTTGCCACTAGTTATTACCCATAGTTCAGCACTGCTTTCTCGGTGGCAATGGCTCAGCTAATGACAGTCGATTTGCCAACCACTAAGCAGCCTTATCCCCTCAACTATAAATTGTTGTGCTCATTTGAAATTTGGCATTCTTGTTTTGACAACATGCCTCTCTTCAGCGATAACTCAAGTTCTGTATCACTAAGCAATAGTTAATTTATACAACAGAATTGGAGACCCTGTCACAAAATAAAATGGACATTAACTTTATTAGTACACAGTGTAGAAGTCTAACATATTTCCTTGCTTTTGAAAACATTACGTTAGCTTGGTTTCTCTTTCCACTATGAAATCAGGCAGATATCAAGAAATGTAATAGTGTCCGCAATCGTGAAATGAAGGAACTTGAAAACCTGCAAAAGTTGAAACAGAGAAACCCCTCGGACAGGCAAGGGATTGTATCCTTTTTGAAAGTTCTGCTCTTGAGGGTGGAGACTTTAAAGAAAAGAAAGATTATTCATTTACACAACTTTTCAAATGTGTATAATGGCTGTAGTGGGACTGTAACTATCAAATGAGGTTCGAAGCTCAATGTAGAAGAATATGCAATATAGATATAAGTACTGTTGATATATATGTAAATACAAATTATGATTGGTATGTATTAATCACTGGGATTTAAAAGTTTTATATTTGTATTATTCTATCAAGTGGTTACATCATAATTAATAATCCTTCAGAATTTCGCTTATATTAATGCTTATACCATCACATACAATGTACAAACACAGGCAGAAAAGTCTGCCAAGACATTTTGGAAGAAAAAAGTTGTTCTGAAATGTTTACAGTACATATGTTACCAGCAACTTCAATAATATATTCTCCTCTTGCTGATCTGTTAACAGCTTCAAGCCACTTCTAAAGCCTGGAGCAAACAATTGAATATTAAATTTGTATTTTGTAAAGAAGTAATTTAACACAAAATTAATCACCATTCATCAAATTATGAACTGTTGAGCAATTGAGAGATCGTCTTTGTATAAGTTCACCCATTCTTCAGGTTCTTCAGACCTCAAGGTATTTTTATCAATATGTACATGATGATTGGCAGAAGACGTCTCCACCATAAGCTGTCCTAGTTCTAATCTTCTTGCTCATTTGACTGCTATGGTGGGTTCAAGCTGGCTTGTCAGGAGGATGGGAACCTGAGAGGTAAAACAAGATTGAAGGGAGGAACGTAGTAAAGTAAATCAAAAAGTTGCTAGGGAGACGAGAAGACAGGAGAAGACTGTTAAGCATTGACAGTATGCTTCAAAGGTGGCATGATGTCAAAAAGAGAAAGTTAGGAGCACGCTACTTGAATGCTGATGTTGTCCGATATAAAGGGACAGTTAGAGATACATTGGTATGATCTAATCGCCATTACAGAAACATGGCTGCATGGTGACCAGGATCAGGACTAGGAAATTAACAATTCAAGGATATTTGGCATTTAGGAAGGACAGATGAAAAGCAAAAGGAGGTGAAACTGTGCTTATAATAAAGGATGGGATCAGTACATTAGAAGTCATAGAATCCCTACAGTCCAGAAAGAGGCCATTTGGTCCATTGAATCCACACTGACTGTCCAAAGAGCATTCCATCCAAACCTATCCTATCCCCGTCAGCCCATGTTTCCCATGGCTAACCCATATAGCCTGTACATCCCTGGACACTCTGGGGCAATTTAACATGGCCAATCCATCTAATCTGCACATCTTTGACTGTGCGATGAATCCAGAACAAATCTACACAGACACAGGGAGAACGTGCAAACTCTACACAGATAATCGCCTCAGGCTGGAATCAATTCTGCGTCCCTAGCGCTGTGAGGCAGCAGTGCTAACCTCTGTGCCGCTGTGCCAGCTTAGTAAGAAAGAATCTCAGATCGGAAGAATAACATGTGGAATCTCTTTGGTTGGAGCTTAGAAACAGAAAGGGATGACTGACATTGGTTGGAGTTATTTATAGCAATAGCGTGGGATGTGGTATTAATCAGGAGATAGGAGAAGCATGCAGCTTGCACAGTTCATTTATTATGAGTAACTTCAATCTCTGGACTGTGTAAATCAATTGAGCTCTAAAGCGATGAATGATGCATGTCTGGAGTATGATAGTAATGGTTTTCTAGAGCAGTATGTCGACTAGACGAAATGCTATTTTAGATTTAGTGTTATGAAATAATAAGGGCTAATTAAAACATTATTATAAAAGACCTTTCGGGATAAATGATCACAATATGATAGAATTTGACATTATGTTTGAAAATGAGGCGGCTCAATTTGAACCAATGGCATTATATTTGAATGAAAGAAATTATGAAGGCATAAGACACAAATTGCCTCAGTTAGATTGGAGAAAATATTGGGAAAATGACTGTACATAAGTATTGGACAGCCTTTAAAGAGCTGTTACCTGGTTTCCAGCAGCTATACATTTCTCCCAGGTGCAAAAACTCAAAAAGGTGAACCACAGAAAAGAGCGAGTTTCACAATTGTATAAGATTGAAAGTAAAGGCTTATAAAATAGCCAGAAATAGCAGTGTAAATCTGAGGTTTAAGATGTTTTAGATTACAGCAAAGGAGAGCCACAAACATGATAAGGAAAGGGAAAATATTAATGCCATCTGGCTAAAGGAAAACATTAAAACAGACAGCAAATGCTTCTATGGGTACATAAAAATAAAACATTTGGCTGAAATGAATGCAGGTCCATAACAGAGAGTCTGGACCATTTTATAATGGGGAATAGAGAAATGGTAGACAAGCTATATGATTATATTGTGTCTGTTTTCACTGACTAAGATATAATAAAACCCCCAGACCACCGATTAAAGTGACTAGGAAGAATGAGATGTCAAAGGAAATTAGCATTAGTAAGAAGGTTAGACTCGAAAAATTAATGAGGCTGAAATTTGATTAATTTTTAAGACATAATAGTTTACATCCAGAGTGTTGAAGGAGAGTTAGAGATAGTCAATGCATTGGTGATCATTTGGAAAATTCTGTAGACTCTGGAATGTTTCTTGAGGAATGAAAGGTGGAAAATGTTACTTTGATATTTAGGGAGGTAGGAAGAGAGAAGTCTACAGACCAGTTAGCTTTACATCAGTTATAGAGAAAATGCTAGAATTTACTATAAAGGATAGGATAATCATAGAATCATAATTTAAAGAATCATAGAGTATAGAAGAGGCCTTTTTGACCCGTCGAGCCTGTACCACCAAAAATATGCTACTACCTACACTAGTCCCACTTTCCTGTGCTAAGCCGATAGTCTTGAATGTGACATCAATTCAAGTGTTCATCCAAGTACTTTTTAAAGGCTATGAGATTTCTCCCCTGAAACACCCTCCCAGACAGTCCTTTCCAGACCCCCACCACTATCTGGGTGAAAAGGTTTTTCCTCAAATCCCCTCTAAACCTCACGCCTTTCACTTTAAAATTATGCCCCCTTGTTATTGACCCTTTGACTAAGAGGAACAGCTACTTTCTATTCACCCTATGCATGTTCCTCAGAATTTTATATATCTCTATCAGATTCCCCCATCAGTCTTCTCTACTCCAAAAACAAAACCCAAGCTTATCCAGCTTCTCTTCATTGCTGAAATCCCCCACCCCAGGCAACATCCTGGTGAATCTCCTCACATCCCCTCCAGTGCAATCACATCCTACCTGTAGTGTGGTGACAAGAATGCACACAGTGCTCCAGCTGTGGCCTAACCAAAGTTCTGTACATCTCCAACATAATATCCCAGCCCCTATAATCTATGCCACAATGGATAAAGGCATAAATAGACATCTGGATAATAAGAGCAAGGGCCTAAACAAACCTTCCAGGTGAAGCAGCACTTTACCTGCACTTCCCACAATCTAGTCTACTGCATTTGCTGCTCACAATATGGTCTCCTCTACATTGGGGAAAGGAAGTGTAGACTGAGTGCCCACTTCACAGAACATCTAAGTTCTGCCCACAAAAAAGACCCTGAGCTTCCAGTTGCCTGACACTTTAACACACCACCCTGTTCCCTGGCGAACATCTCTGTCTCAGCCTTGCTGCAGTGTTCTAGCAAAGGTCAGCACAAGCTGGAAGAACAATGCCTCATTTTCCTCTTAGGCACCCTACAGTCCTCTGGACTCAATATCAGGTTCAGTAATTTTAGGGCCTAAACTCTCCCATGTCATAGCCCCCTACCCTGACACACCAAGCCTTATTATCACATAGTCTGCCATTACACACCACCTATTGTTAGCCACTAACAGTCTCCATTAACAGCTTTTCAACCTCGTCACCAAATCATTATCAACTCCTTTATCTGTCTGACTGTTCTCTCTCTTTGGGCCCTATCCCCACCGAATGTCTACTCCTTACCTCCTCTCCCTCCCTATCTTCTGTATATAAACCAACATTTTCCTAGCTACCATCAGTTCTGAGGAAGGGTCACCGGACCCAAAACGTTAACTCTCATTTTTCTTCACAGATGCTGCCAGACCTGCTGAGCATTTCCAGCAACTTCTGTTCTTGTTCCTGATTTACAGCATTTGCAGTTCTTTCCATTTTTATCTGGATAATAATGTTCTAATTGGGCATGGTTAGCATGGGTGTATGAAAAGGAAATTATTTTTTATGAAATGTTGAAGTTTTTAGAAGCTGTTACTACCAAAATTGATAATGGAGAACCAATAGATGTAGTACATTAGATATTGATATACTTAGAAGGCTTTTGATTAATTCACCTACAGGAGACTGGTTAGAAGAATTAAAGCATATAGCACAGTAGGTAATGTACTGGCATAGATTAATCATTGGCTAACAGACAGAAAACAGAGTAGGAATAAATGGATCATTCTTATATTAACAGGCTGTGACTAGTGGGGTACCACAAGGATCAGTACTTGGGTTCCACTTGTTCAAACTCAATATCAATGATATCGAAGGGGGGAACAAATGTATTATTTCTGAATTTGTGGATGACACAACACTAACTAGGAATGTGTGTCATGAGGAATATGTAGAGAGGATTCAGAAAGTTTTGGGCAGGTTTAGTAATTGGACAGGAACATGGCAGATGGAACATCATGTGAAAAAAATGTGAGGTTATGCACTTTGGAAAAAGGAACAGATATGCAAAGTATGCATTAAACGGTAAGAGGTTGAAAAGTGTACATGTACAAAAAGGGACCTACATGTCCTTGCCGATAAGTCACCAAAGGCTAATATGCAAGTGCAGCAAGCCAATAGGAAGGCTAATAGAATGTTAACCTTTACTGCAAGAGGAGTACAGGAGAAATGACATCTTGCTTTAATTGTATAGGAGCTTGGTTAGACTGCACCTATGTACAGTTTTGGTCTCTTTATCTCAGGAAAAATTTTTATTGCCTTAAGGGTATGGTTTACCTGTTTGACACATGAATTTTGTATTCCTACAATTGTTGCTTTCCAAAGCTGCAAATTCTCCAGTGGAGAGATGGGTGTGTGGTGATGGCATTTAGAATTATGTAAGATGCCTCAGTCACACAGATTTCAATCTGTGATAAGAACATCACAGGGACACAATTTTTACTGGATATTCATCACATTAATTTTCAAATACATTTGGTGTAAGATCATAACTGGGAGCTTTACATAAAGTAATGGGACCTAGCTTCAGCACAGTACCCAAAAAATAAGGTTCTTATGAGATGGTGCTCAAGACCTGGATACCACTGTCACCTTATTCAGGTAAGCTCTTTGGAGTCAGCACCTCTCTGTAAGAGGTCACATTATAATATTCACATCTCAGGGATCTGTTTGGCATTTCACAAGCCCACAAGCAATCAATTCTGCTGCCAGTTATTTCCGTAGAACTCTACAGATCAAGAAGCACAAGAGGGTTTTATTTTTATTCATTACAGGATGTGGGTATCACTGGCCAGATCAGCGTTTATTGCCCAGAGGGCTATTGAATCAACCCATTGCTGTGGGTCTGGAGTCACATGTAGGCCAGACCAGGTAAGGATGGCAGATTTCCTTCCCAAAAGAACATTAGTGAACTAGATGAGTTTGTCTGACAACCATTTCATGGACATCATTAGACTCTTAATTCAGGATTTTTATTGAATTCATACTTCACCATCTGCCATGGTCAGATTTGAACCCGGGTCCCCAGAACATTACCCCGATCTCTAGGTTAATAGTCTAGTGATAATGGCACTAGACATTCACCTCCCCCTCAAATTAGTCAAGCTCTCCTGAACAGCTTAGTCGTTGATAACATTTTTTACCCTTCTCTCAGGATGGGATTTAATTAATTATCAGTTTAAGTTGCATTATTCACATGAGCTCCCTTTAATGATTAATCATCATTTATGGATGAGAAAGGCCATTTAACCGATTCTGATTTATTCTTCAACAATCCCTCCCCTGCCCAATGTTGCTTCTGATTGTGACTTAAATGTTTCTGATACTCTGCCAGGAACTCCATTCAAGTATTGAACATTGACTGGTGTCAAGACATTTCTTATAATTGCACATAAACCTTTTCTTAACTTGTGCTCTCTCGCTCATATAACTTAGCACTGCATTCTGATTTCAGAGTTAATCGATTTTAACCCACTTGCGCTGATTTTCACAACCAGACCACTGAGTTAAATTTAAAACAGTTGAGATCCCAACATAGCTCACCTGGAGAAACTCACTCATTACTTCCCCATAATCTTCAATATATCCTGCTAAACTGTACCCATTGTTCTCTCCCTTTCTCATCCATTGCCAAGTTTTAGCTGAGTCATTAAAGCTTTGAAGCTAATTACTAATCCATCATGTCAAACTTTATTAGATGCCTTTTGGAAGTCGAATAACCTGAGATGTCACTTCTTCAAAGAACTCAAAGAGATTAGTCAGCAGGGTCTAACACCTGGAATGGGAATTTTTACAAAGTTGGATAATCTACTGACTATACCCATTGTGTCAGAATTCATGTCAAGTAATCCTCAAGTACTGTCAGATCCATAATCAGTTTTTATTTTCCTATCTTTTTATTGTATGTTTTAAAAGAACAGGAGGATGGAATGGATTACATAGTACACTCACAAAGCATTCTATATTGTGTACATGCACAGAAATGTTGGAATTAGCTTTTAAGCAATGTGAATGAAATTAGAAATTGTTATCTCATCATTCAATGTTTTGTTTTCCTTAACTGATCTTTCCAGTCGCTGGTGTGTGATTTTTAAATTTATATCTGAAGTTTAAAAATTCACTCCAGTGCAGCAGGTTCGGATTATTGTGGTCTCAGTGTCTATGAGAACTATGAATTTTCAATGTGCTGGAGGTAGGAAGGGAGTAGGGAAGGCAATTGCCTCCAATGAATTGCCCCCTTAGCCCCTTAAGGAGCTGGTGATGGAGCCTGTCCAGAACTTCTGGCGACCTTGAGCCATCTTGTACACATCAGTACACAATTGTCAGATTCACTGCAGACCTCAGTTCATCCCTTTGGGCATGGCTTTAAGAGGAAGCTGTGGTGTTAACTGGTACTGGCAGGAGTTTTTTTTATTCATTCACAGGATGTGGGCATCACTGGCTTGACAGCATTTATTGCCCATCCCTAATTGCCCAGAGGGCAGTTAAGAGTCAACCACATTGCTGTGGGTCTGGAGTCACATGTAGACCAGACCAGGTAAGGATGGCAGTTTCCCTCCCTAAAGGACATTAGTGAACCAAATGGGTTTGTCCCCAACAATTGACAATGGTCATCATTAGATTCTTAGTTCCAGATATTTATTGAATTCAAATTCCACCATCTGCCATGGCAGGATTTGAACCCAGGCCCCCAGAACATTATGTGGGGCTCTTGATTAACAGTCCAGTGACAATACCACTAGGCCATCGCCTCCCCTAATTTGCTGCTCTTTAAAGAGTGCTGCTGACTGCCTCGTTCAAATCCTTTCAAAGACCTGCCTGCTCAAATTGGCAACAGCCTCTAAAATGGCGACTGTCTGCCCCCAATGCTGATGGCAGAGAGGCAGCTTCTATCCCCTGGAGGCAATATGGCGTCACCAGTGGGGCACCATGCTTGGCTCTTGGCCAATTAGGCCATTTAAACTCAAAAACAGCAAACCAAGAACCATACAACTTAGGAGTTGTGTCAGAACCCGGAATTCATACAGGTATGAAGTTCCTGATCAATCTTCAAAGTCCAGGTCCCAGTCTTAGAAAGTAACTGGTTGGTTCAGCATATACAGTTCCTGACTTGCAAGCCTGCTGATCAGTAGAAATCAGCCGAGGTTAGGCTGTAGGATTATACGGAAGCTACATGCTTATATAAGTTTTATTGCACCTTGGGTAACAAGCTCTGTAATAATATAGCACTGATGCATGACTACTTTAAAGAGCATTATCAGTAAATCTGAATGATGACTAATTATTAACCAGCACTACACTTCTCATCTTCATGAAATTGAGAAGATGGTTCTTTTCCTAGCGCTTAATATTTGTCAATATGACAACAAAGTAATTTGTGAAAATGCAATGTGGTTTGTTTTCCCGGAGTTCTCCGCACACTAAAAAATATACATGTCTTCTGACTGATTGCTGCAGTCTGCTTTGGCAGAGGTAAGTTAAGTGTTAGATGCATCACCTTCATCAAGTCTGTGTTGCTGTGGTTCATTTATATGTGCATGCACTGGCAAATTTCACGTGATGAAGCTTGTGAGTATGAAATGCTTGCAGGCAAAGAGTTACAGGGAGTAAGTGCAATAGTTACAGGGCATTCTCTCCACATGTAATACATATATATAAAGAAAAATGAAGGAAGTATTTGCATTTATATATGATCTTTCACAAACTTGAGAAGCCTCAAAGGGTTTTGCAGGAAATAGCATAGTTTTGAACCAGAGTCACCATTTTAATGTATGAAAAGTATTACGATCCTGTTAGAGAATGCTAATATTTAAAATAAATCAAAATACCTTGTTTCTAACCAATAGAACACCACCTCAAAATTTCTCTTATTGTTAATGAAACAATATTCATTGTATTAAACAAAACAAGCACTATTAACTTAACAAGATGCTTTAGAATTATGCATGTTGTGCACTCAGGTTTACTTGCTGCTTCCTCCAAGAATTCTCTTATCAGACGCATCAAACCTAAGGTCATTGACTTCTGTAAGGACTGCCCTGTAGTTCTCTGGAGAATTTTCCACAGCTCCAGCTATTGTCAGAGGTACAACCTTCATTCACCCTCTCTTGACGGTGGATGCGTTAGTCCATTGGTTGCTATTCCAATACTTCCAAATAAATCTACTTATAACTTTGTCTTTTTTTGTTTAATGGCTTCTCCCCCCAGCTTCAACCTAGTTGATTTTCCAGATTTTATCCCCTCACAGGATTCAATCTGAGATTAAACCTCATTCATTTTCCACATACTCAATAAAGATGTGAGGACTTTACTCTGCTTACAGCATAGGTGTATCTGACTGTTACTTCTCTGGGCTGCAAACTACATCAGATTCAAATTGCAACCAAAAATATCAGCAAATGCATAGACTAAATTGAAATAAAAAATCCTTCCTAACTCCACCCACCTACATGATGATGTAGCCTGATGTGGGCTGACCTTTAGGTTAAATATCCATCATGTACTAATTCTTTTTTCTTCTGACAAAATAAATGAGTTCATAGCTTTCCAAGGTTTCCTGAATACTTTTAAGGTTGTTTACTGCCCAAAACAAAAACTATCTCTCTCCAGACTTTCTTTGCATGGAGTATAGACATCAATCTTCCAGTTCCCGAGTTAAGTAAAACTTGTTGTTTTGCAGCTCTCTCCCTTCTAATCTTAAAACGAAAGTTATATTCTGGATAACATGAACCAAGAACTAGATACTTGCAATGATGGCTACAGCCAATTTGCAACAGCAAGGCAACCAACAGGAATAAGATGATGGCCAGATAATCCATTTTTAAGATTAATTTGCGGACAAGGTACACTGGCTTGAATTTTCACTCCCAGATCAGGAGCGCAGGGTCAGGACAATTCATGGCTCTCAACAAAAGAAAACGTGTCCTGTACGTTGAGATATTTGTTTGCGGGCAGATGAAAATGTAAAATGTGGCCATTGCCTGGATGGAGTTCAGAGGAAATCACTGAGCCAGCTGGGTGTAATGGCAGACTGGCTAAAAGGTTGCTACTCCAGCACTTTGTTGAAACTATGATAAATGAATACAACAGAACAAAGCCCTCCTGCCTAAATGTTCATCCCTTCATGTTACCACAAACCTCTCATGCCCAAACCCCATACCAATCCATGATACCGCATGAGCCACCCACTATCCATTCTGAGTGGCCTCTTATATTAATCATATCTTTATATGCTCCTCTGCTCACTCCAATTCCTTACAGCTGTGTTGCCGATTGATGGCAGCTCATGGCAACCAGCATTACCATGGCAACCACTTTTACACCCTCAATGCCAACCAATCTATGTTTGCCATGAGCAGACATCAGGATTAAAGAGATTAAATAAAGTTCTTCAGTGACTAATAAAGAATTCACTATTAAAAATACACCATCATTGATTAAGACTCCTTTAAAAAATATATAAATTACATTTGTATTCATAATCAAAGATTTTGTAAGCACTTGGAACTGTCAAAACTGTGAACTGACAGGCACCCCAGAGTGATAATTATTGATTGTGAAACCAGTCATGCAGCACTAATCCCTGTAATTACCAGCCCTACATCAACCAACACAGTACTATAGTAGCCATCTTATTTATTAACATTCTGGTTTCTTTTCAAATATTTAAAGAGCCAGAAATTTAAAGACATTGACAGCTTGACCAGTCTATTGATAGCTTCCTTTGTCAATAATCTTTACAGTATCTGCCAGTTCCAATGGATTTCTCCACTTTTCACGCGCATCATGTTTATCTTTAACAACCCCAAAGGGTACTTTGGCAGGGTAGCATAGCCCACCAAAGACCTCCAGTAAGTTTAAACATTTTCCTAATGGGTCTAAAATATACACGTCATGTTCTGGATATCCCACTAGTGAAAATCAGATTTCATTGACAGCATCTGCCCTGTAACTTGTAGCATTGCCTCTTGTGTGAATCACTAATATGCAAACTACGACTTGCTGCCTTTATTCCCTCCCACCATGTGAAAATAGTAGGGACCAAGGTCAGAAAGGGAAATGCTGGATTCATGTCTCAAGTGCCATTTTTGCTAAGATATAGAGCATCTCCCACCTCAAAATCTTAGGGCTGTCCATGAAATTTATTTTGTGGGGCAAGCATTTTCATTGAAGATCTATGAGATAAGTGTGTTGTATCTGTTAAGCCTCTGAGGGATTCAGTGGTGTGCTTTCTTAATGTTTGAAGTGTAATTTTGTTAAACAACTTGCAGAGTGAGTTTATCTCCTGGGTTTGCATAATCTAGCCATTGTGTTTCCGTAATCTCTCAAACATCTTTCATAATGTCTAAAGTAAGGGTTTAAGCAAAATTAAAGTCTCAAAATATTGCACAGTAATACATTTTTATTCCATATTTACTCATTATACTTGCTCAGAGCCATAACTGCAGGTAGAGTTTGGATTGTCCGTGGCGCAGCTTTCTTGAACACGAGTGTTGAGGGGACAAAGGTTTTACTTGTGACCATTAACAAAAGGTTAGCAACACTGCCCTCAGGCTTGATGCTTCTCCACATACCTTTCTATTCCATGGTGGATTTTATTGGAAATAGCTTCAGAAACAGTACATGATCCAGCTTCAACACATAATGGAAGACAGACTGTAGTCCAGATGCATGACAATTTGAAAAAGAATGCTTTTAAGAAATGTAAAGTTTAGCTGATTTAATTTCAGCATAAGATGTGCTTCTTTTTTTAGTGTCATCCCTTGGAGTGCAGTGTACACTTCATGCCAAAGTGAATCTGCAAAGGCTTAATTGTTTACTCCATGTTAACATGACTTTCTGAATGTGAACATTGGTTTCTTTCCTTAGGCTGAAGCCAATGTGCAGAAGGCTTCAGTCGATGTCAATCACACCACACATCAGCTGGAAGAGATCATTCTCAAATTTCAACTGCAAAAACTGAAGGACATTAAGGTATGAAGATTGCAGTTGATTTGGTTATTCACAAATGACGTCTCAATTTCCTGCCTTTCTTTCAAGCCATTCCTTGCCTCAGATTATTCTTACTTTCAAAGCCTTTCACAAAGGGAGAGTGCAATTAAGGCACGCCAGACCTGTTCCCGAAATGGCAGGACTGTCTATGAAGAGAGACTGGGCAAATTGGACTGTATTCCCTAGAGTTTCGAGGGATGATAGCTAATCTCATGGAAACCTACAAAACTCTTAAAGGGACAGACAGGGTAGATGTAAGTAAGTTCTTTGTTCTGGTTAGGGAGCCTAGAATTAGGGGGCACAAGTTAAAAATAAGGGGGATGCAATTTAATTCAAGATAGGGAGAAACCGTTTCAGAAGGTTATGAACCTTTAGAATTCTCTGCCACATGTCACTGTTGAAACATATAAAATTCTTAGGGGACTTGAACAGGGTAAATGTGGAAAAATCGTTTCCTCTTGTGGGTGAGCCTAGGACCAGTGGGCATAATCTCAGAATAACATATTGCGCATTTAAAATTTCTGCTTTCAAAGAATAGTGAATCTGTGGAATTCTTTACCATAGAGGGCTGTTGAGGCTATGTTGTTAAATATAATCAAGACTGAGACAGACAAATTTTAACCAGTAAGGAAATCAAGGGCTATGAGGAAAAGGCAGGAAAGTAGAGTTGAGAGAATTATCAGACCAGCCATGACATAATTGAGTGGCAGAGCAGACTGGATGGGCTGAATGGCCTACTACTGCTTCTGAGTCTTATGGTGTTATAGTCACAGAGGGCTGAGGAAACTTGGTCTTTGAGTATGTTTAAGGTAGAGGCTGATAGATTTCTGATTATCAGTGGCTCGCAGCATTATGAGGTTGAGATGAGCAAAAGGCATTGAAGTGTTCAATCAAAAATTATAGTATTAAGTTGCAGGGCAGTCTCAACAGCCTGAATAGCCTACTCCTGTTCCAATGTTCCTATGTTCTAAAGGCTGTTACTTGAACCCAATCTTATGACGGTCCCTTCCCTCAGTTTTCCTTCATCCTGTGATATTTCGGTCTTCATTAAATTACCAGACCTCTTATCAATCTTGTTGTTATTGGTGCTTAGTTGACCTTGACCCTGCACATAGGCCTCTCTGTAGCAGCAGTACCAACTGGATTCCAGTCCACCATTAGAATAGCAGTCTTCTGATAGCACCAGAGGGGACTTGAGCAGTCATCTACAAATGTGCCTGTCCGCTGTGTTGTGATTCACTTTGCACAAGTTGGACAATTTTCTTTCTTTTTAATTCACAGGCTATTTTCTCAAACTTTGTGACCATCGAGATGATATTCCATGCCAAGGCCCTTGAGATGTACACGAATGCTGTTCAACACCTGAACAACTTTGATGAAGAGAAGGATCTGGAGGTATGAACGGAATTAACTTGAGTTCAGTTCCTAGTTAAAAAAAATCCAGCGGACAGATTATAAGAAATCTTGACTAGGGCAAACAGAAGTAAAAAATACTTTGTTTTTTTCAACAAATGAAACATCTAGATGAAAGCCAAAAGCACACAGAAAATGGTATTGCAGAAGCTGGAATAATTGGGAGATAAAACAAAACAATATATTAGGTGACTGTTGGTTGTACAGCAAAAATTGAAACCAAGTCCATCACTTTGTCTTACTTTTCTCAAACTTCAAAGCTCAGTAGTGACCAATGAGCATTACCCTGTGAACATCAACTGTTGCTTTACTGTTAAACAATGCTTGTGAAGGTTGGAACATCACACAGGAAAGGATTTAACATTTAATCTAAACAGACATTCTTCTCATTGCAAAGTTTTTTTTCCCACTGTATGAGAAAAAGACACACTCACTAAAAGAATTAAAAATTTCTAAAAACATTGAAAAATATGCACTGAGATCTTTAAGTCAAGTCTCATATGGATAACAATGAACAAACAAATCCCTTGGTCCATCGGATCTATCCTATCAAAGAATGTTGATACCTTCACAATAAATAGACCCCACTGCTTCCAACTTTTCCCTGAGAAAAGCTAGGGAAAACCAGATATAAACACAATTGGGTGGAAATAATCCAGGGAATTTTTCTCTGGTTGATTCCCTCTTTGCTAATTACTGGCTGATCGCAACCAGTTGCGGAGATCACACGGATCATGAATTCCTCACAACAGTTTCCATTTGTGAGAGGCAAACCCTGCCTCAGCCAGAAATGGGTCTTGCTCTTGCCTCCAGGAGTTCACTGTGTCAACTGTTCAAACCAGCTTTCTGTTACTGTGGTCCAATACACACGGTGAAATGAACCGCCTCCTAACGTCCACCTACATCTAACATACACAACTGAAAATTGTGACGACTGGTTATTTCCAATAACAAGCTATATTTATCAGAGCATTTATAAACGATAAAATGTCCCATCACACCTTACAATAGCTTTATCAAGTAAAATAGCATACCAAGCCATAAGGAGATTTTTGGTAAGATAATCAAAATCTTGGTCAAAGAGTCAGGTTTTAAGAAATTTCTTAAATCATGAAAATGAGGTTAGGGAGTGTGGAGGGATGGAGACAAAATTCCAGAGCTTGGAGCTTAGGTGATGCAAAGTACAGCTACAGTCAATATTGAAGACGCACAGGAAGCCAGAATTGAAGGCACGCAGATATCTTTCAGGGTTCTGGGACAGGAGACGATTTCAGAAATGGGGACTGTAATGCTATGGATCGATTTGAAAACAGAGATGAGAACTTTAAAAACAAGATGTTGCTTGACCATGATGTTCTGTTGATCAACCAGCACAGCAGAATGGTACACTAAGACATGAGCAGCAGAGTGGTAGATCACCTCACATCCATGAATTGTACAATGTGGGAGACCAACTCAGAGTGCATTCAAATAGTGCAGTTAATTAGTACAAACTGGAACACAATCTCTTCCTTTCATTGTCTCATAAGCTTCAATCAGAACAGCTGTAAATCTACGCTTCACTCTTTTAACCAATCGTGCTAATAAGGATGACTTTTCCTGTGAATCAGTTTAATGGCCTCCTTTTCTCCCTTTCCAAAGTTTCAATATCATTCACCTTGTGACATATCAAAACTAAACATGCATTCCACATGAAGCCAAGATCTTATGCAAGGGCAAAGTATCATGCCTTGTTTTATAATTAATGCTCTTATGTTCACTCATCATCTTGCACTTCCAATTCATACCATTTACTTTTAGAGATTTATAAATTAGGACACCTGTAAATCTTTATATTTCTCAGGCTTTTGTTATGTTTTTCCCTAAATGTTGAACATTTTCAGTGGCAATGTGCATAATACTGTACCTTTCCAAATGAAACATAATTTGCCAGTCATGAGTACAATCTCCCAACACAAGGCCATAGATTATTGAATCCTGACAGTGTGGAAACAGGTCCTTCAGGCCAACATGTCCACACTGACCCTCACAGCATCCCACCCAGACCCACCCCCCTCACCCTATCCTTGTAACCCTATATTTCCTGTGGCTAACCCACTTAGCCTACACATTCCTGGACACTATGGGCAATGGAGCATGGCCAATCAACCTAACCTGCACATCTTTGGACTGTGGGAGGAAACTGGAGCACCCAGAGGGAATCCACACAGACATGGGGAGAATGTGCAAACTCCACACAGACAGTTGCCTGAGACTGGAATTGAACCCATGTCCCTGGTGCTGTGAGGCAGCAGTGCTAACCGCTGAGCCGCTGTGCTGCCCCCCCCCACCTGATGTCTACCAGTCTGATAACAATTCTTAGTGTTACCTCTAAGTTTGTAAATTGTGCACAAAACCTCCAGATCATTAATAAATCCCACCCCACAACGACCTTTTGACTGGACCACTCTCACAGCATCATTGATGAGAGTGTTCCATGAAGCAGTACGAATGTAAACAACAGGGACAGAATTTCAGGCAACTTACGAACTGTGGAATTCTAGGAATTCACATTCACAGCTGGGAATTCTTCCACCCTCTCATTTTTTAGCCTGAACATTAACCATTGTTTGTCTGCCTCATTCAACCTTTCTGCAAGTATGGTCTGCATTGATCGATTTGGGATCTTTTCATGGGATGTGGACACCTCTGGCAGGGCCAACACATTTTCCCCATTCCTCATTGTCCTTTGTCCACTATTTATTGAACAGTTAAAAGTGAACCACTTTCCTGTGGCGTCTGGAATCCAAATAAGTTAGACGTCTTCCCTTGAAGGACCTTTGTATTATAAACTTTACTTAAGCAATTGATGGTTTCATGGCCACCATTACTGAGACTGGCTTTCAATTTCAGTAATTGACGAAGTATTTGAAATTGAATGTTGGGAATCAAACCAGTATTTCCAGAGCATTAACCGGAGCCTCTGGATTACGAGACAACAAGGTGCAGAGCTGGATGAACACAGCAGGCCAAACAGCATCATAGGAGCAGAAAGGCTGACGTTTTGGGCCTAGACCCTTCATCAGAAATGGGGGAGGGGAAGGGGGTTCTGAAATAAATAGGGAGAGAGGGGG